CACTGCAAATATGGACTCTTTGCATAAACTTAATGTAATTGTCAATAAAAGCCTTTGACACTTATGGAATGTTTGTAATTATACTTCAGTATACCATAGTAACATCTGACAAAAATATCTCATAACACTGAAGCAGCGAACTTTGTGAAGACCAATACTACTCTCAAAACGTTTAACCACAACTGTACATCACTGCCATCCAGGAGCTCTATAGCAGGTGGTGTCAGAAGATGGCCCAAACATTTTCAAAAACTCCAGCCACAGACTGTTCTCTCTGCTACCGCATGGAAAGCGGTACCAATGCACAAAATCTGGAACCAACAGGACCCTGAACAGCTTCGAACCCCAAGCCATAAGACTTCTAAACAAAACTGCTAAATAGCTCATCAAATGGCTACCCGGATTACCTGCATTGACCCTTTTTTGCACTAACTCACTATGCACACACACTCGACTCTACTCACACATACTTATACTGACACCCCAACACACACATATAACATGCACACACATGCATACTGACACCACACACACACTCAGACACACACAGACACACTTTCACACTCACCACATACGTAGTATGAAAAAAAAATGTATGCACTCACTAACTGTAAGTTGCTCTGGATAAGAACGTCTGCTAAATGACTAAAATGTAAAAAATGTAAATACGCTGCTGCTACTGTCTATTATCTATCCTGTTGCCTAGTCACTTTACCCCTACCTATAGTGGGGAACAAAAGTATTTAGTCAGCCACAATTGTGCAAGTTCTCCCACTTAAAAAGATTGGAGAAGGCCTGTAAATTTCATCATAGGTACACCGTCAACTATGACAGACAAATGGAAAAAAATCCAGAAAATCACATTGTAGGATTTTTTAATGAATTTATTTGCAAATTAGTGAAATAAGTATTTGGTCACCTACAAACAAGCAAGATTTCTGGCTCTCACAGACCTGTAACTTCTTCTTTAAGAGGCTCCTCTGTCCTCCACTCGTTACCTGAATTAATGGCACCTGTTTGAACTTGTTATCAGTATAAAAGACACCTGTCCACAACCTCAAACAGTCACACTCCAAACTCCACTATGGCCAAGACCAAAGAGCTGTCAAAGGACACCAGAAACAAAATTGTAGACCTGCACCAGGCTGGGAAGACTGAATCTGCAATAGGTAAGCAGCTTGGTTTGAAGAAAATCAACTGTGTGAGCAATTATTAGGAATTGGAAAGACATACAAGACCACTGATAATCTCCCTCGATCTGGGGCTCCACGCAAGATCTCACCCCGTGGGGTCAAAATGATCACAAGAACGGTGAGCAAAAATCCCAGAACCACACGGGGGGACCTAGTGAATGACCTGCAGAGAGCTGGGACCAAAGTAACAAAGCCTACCATCAGTATCACACTACGCCGCCAGGGACTCAAATCCTGCAGTGCCAGATGTGTCCCCCTGCTTAAGCCAGTACATGTCCAGGCCCGTCTGAAGTTTGCTAGAGTGCATTTGGATGATCCAGAAGAGGATTGGGAGAATGTCATATGGTCAGATGAAACCAAAATAGAACTTTTTGGTAAAAACTCAACTCGTCGTGTTTGGAGGACAAAGAATGCTGAGTTGCATCCAAAGAACACCATACCTACTGTGAAGCATGGGGGTGGAAACATCATGCTTTGGGGCTGTTTTTCTGCAAAGGGACCAGGACGACTGATCTGTGTAAAGGAAAGAATGAATGGGGCCATGTATCGTGAGATTTTGAGTGAAAACCTCCTTCCATCAGCAAGGGCATTGAAGATGAAACGTGGCTGGGTCTTTCAGCATGACAATGATCCCAAACACACCGCCCGGGCAACGAAGGAGTGGCTTCGTAAGAAGCATTTCAAGGTCCTGGAGTGGCCTAGCCAGTCTCCAGATCTCAACCCCATAGAAAATCTTTGGAGGGAGTTGAAAGTCTGTGTTGCCCAGCGACAGCCCCAAAACGTCACTGCTCTAGAGGAGATCTGCATGAAGGAATGGGCCAAAATTCCAGCAACAGTGTGTGAAAACCTTGTGAAGACTTACAGAAAACGTTTGACCTGTGTCATTGCCAACAAAGGGTATATAACAAAGTATTGAGAAATTTTGTTATTGACCAAATACTTATTTTCCACCATAATTTGCAAATAAATTCATTAAAAATTCTACAATGTGATTTTCTGGATTTTTTTTTCCCCCATTCTGTCTGTCATAGTTGACTTGTACCTATGATGAAAATTACAGGCCTCTCTCATCTTTTTAAGTGGGAGAACTTGCACAATTGGTGGCTGACTAAATACTTTTTTCCCCCACTGTATATGTTGTACCCCCTGCACATCGACTCGGTACTGGTACTCCCTGTATATACAGTGCTTTCAGAAAGTATTCATACCCCTTGACTTATTCCAATTGTTGTTGTGTTACAGCCTGAATTCAAAATGGATTCAATATATATTTTCTCACCCGTCTACACACAACATCCCATAATGACAAAGTGAAAACATGTTTTCAGAAATTTAAATTTATTGAAAGTGAAATACAGAAATATCTCATTTACATAAGTATTCACAACCCTGAGTCAATACATGTTAGCATCACCTTTGGCAGCAATTACAGCTGTGAGTCTTTCTGGGTAAGTCTCTAAGAGCTTTGCACACCTGGATTGTACAACATTTGCCCATTATATTTTCAAAATTCTTCAAGCTCTGTCAAATTGGTTGTTGATCATTGCTAGACAACCATTTTCAAGTCTTGCCATAGATTTTTAAGCAGATTTAAGTCAAAACTGTAACTTGGCCACTCAGGAACATTCACTGTCTTCTTGGTAAGCAACTCCAGTGTAAACTTGGCCTTGTGTTTTAGGTTATTGTCCTGCTGAAAGGTAATATCCCAGTATCTGGTGGAAAGCAGACTGAACCAGGTTTTCTTCTAGGATTTTGCCTGTGCTTAGCTCCATTCCGTTTCTTTTAATATCCTGAAAAACTTCCGTCATTAATGATTACAAGCATACCCGTAACATGATGCAGCCACCACTATGCTTGAAAATATGGAGAGTGGTACTCAGTAATGCCCCAAACATAACACTTTGTATTCAGGACAAAAAGTTAATTGCTTTGCCACATTTCTTTGCAGTATTACTTTAGTGCCTTGTTGCAAACAGGATGCATGTTTTGGAATATTTTTATTCTGCACAGGCTTCCTTTTTTTTACTCTGTGAATTAGGTTAGTATTGTGGAGTAATTACAATGTTGTTGATCCATCCTCAGTTTTCTCCTATCACAGCCATTAAACTCTATAACTGTTTCAAAGTCACCATTGGCCTCATGGTGAAATCCCTGAGCAGTTTCCTTCCTCTCCGGCAACTGAGTTAGGAAGGACGCCTGTATCTTTGTAGTGACTGTGAGTATTGATACACCATCCAGTGTAATTAATAACTTCACCATGTTCAAAGGGATATTCAATGTCTGCTTTATTTTTACCCATCTACCAATAGGTGGCCTTCTTTGCGAGGCATTGGAAAACTTCCCTGGTCTTTGTGGTTGAATCTGTGTTTGAAATTCACTGCTCGACTGAGGGACCTTACAGATAATTGTATGTGTGGGGTACAGAGATGAGGTAGTCATTCAAAAATCATGTTAAACACTATTATTGCACACAGAGTGAGTCCATGTATTTTTACATTTTAGTCATTTTAGCAGACGCTCTTATCCAGAGCGACTTACAGTTAGTGAGTGCATACATTTTTTTTTGTTTCATACTGTGGGAACATGCAACTTATTATGTGACTTGTTAAGCACATTTCTACTCCTGAACTTATTTAGGCTTGCCATAACAAAGGGGTTTAATACTTATTGACTCAAGACATTTCAGCTTTGACTTTATGGGGTATTGTGGGTAGGCCAGTGACAAAAAAGTATGTAACACAACAAAATGTGGAAAAAGTCAAGGGGTGTGAATACTTTCTGAAGGCACGTTGTTTTCTACTCCCAATACAGTATATAGCTATGTTATGTTATTTTTGCTCGTTATTTTTATTCGTTATTCACTATGTATTTATTCCTTGTGTCACTATTTTTTTTTTTAATGTATTTTTAAAAATCTTATCTTTAACTCTGCATTGTTGTAAAAGGACCCATTAGTAAACATTTTACTGTTAGTCTACACCTGTTGTCTACGAAGCATGTGACAAATCAAATTAGTTTTGATTGATTCTACTGCGTGACCAAGTCACTAACCCACTTTATATTTGTAAATATAGTGTAAATACAGTCCATTACTATATGACTACTACCTCTTCTATTTACTTCTATTTTACTTGACTCTTTTACTGTTATTATTGATATTGATTAACTGCATTGTTGAGCGAGCTAGCGCATAAGCATTTCGCTGCACCTTTTATACCTGCTGTGAACTGCGTACTTAACGACTAATATTTGATTTGATTTGCTGTCCAGCTGCCCTGGGGCAGGCTGCGTGTGCTCCCTCACGTGTTCTCGTGCGAGGAGATCGCACGCATGTTGAAGACCATGCTGGAAGGAAGAAACCATATGGGGAAGACATGAGGGGGAGAGAAAATTACATACATGTGTCCAGGACATTTGGAAAAATTATAAAATGATTGTCCCAGATGTACACGCAATTTCATCCAAAGTATGACTTCTATTGCATAATTTAATTGATAAAATTAGGCTGTTTTAAAGGCATTGGACCTATTTCAAGAAGCCGAACTGAAGAAAGGTCCTCGTGTTTGCAATACCAGCACCATTCTTATCAATTAGAAATAAGGTTTGCTGTTGTGCAATTGATGTAGGCCTAGTTTATTGATGTGTTATAATGGTAATGTATTCATGGGCAAATGTTTAAACCAGAAACAGTTGAGAAAGCATTATTGTGTTAAAATGTCACATTACCTCATTCCTACACCCCTGCTATAAGAGAATGGGATAGTCTCTAGAGCTGCCCTCCCCTCCTTGAATTTTTGCTCAGCTAGGCTCAAATATTGATTGTGCGCGGTAACTGCATTGAGCGAGTGTAATCAAATCATCCTCACGAATATTGGAAGGTGTACAAATAACAAGCGCTCGTTTGCGTTTTAGTCCAAAGGTATGAAAGGAAAACCGTGTAGACCTAATTTCCTCGTGCATTCGCTTTTAACGTGAAGACACCCATGGATACAGGTGACAACAGACGTAGACGGGCGAGGAGTGTGAGAGCCAAAAGAACTGGGACGCAAGATGCGTCTGTGAAAAGGGAAAATGCAAACGTCCTAAGATCTTTGAGTGTTGGGAACACAGACGACAATGATGCCATGGAGGATGACGCTGGCTTTGTCAAAAATTGGAGTTTGGAGCGAAGGGTCATGGCTCCACGGTACAGTTTACTCCGTGAGGTCGGAAGGGGCAGCTATGGCGTGGTCTATGAAGCGATTGCACGGAGGTCGGGTGCAAGCGTTGCAGTAAAGAAACTTCGATGCGATGCACCAGAAAATGTCGAGCTTGCCTTGGCAGAATTCTGGGCCCTTGCTAGCCTGGATAAACGACACGAGAATGTGGTGCAATTGGAAGAATGTGTGTTACAAAGAAACGGTGTGGCTCAAAAAATGAGTCATGGGAACAAGCGGTCCAAGCAGTACTTGCGGTTGGTGGAGACTTCATTAAAAGGTATCCAGCCTATGATGATTGTGTGGAAATCACAGTTCTATATAAATCAATTCACGTTACGTCATAATTTCTCTGTATGACCGCAGCTGTCCGATGGTATATGGTGGGGATTTTGTATCCATTCCATTGTCTATCTAGTTCAACGAAAGTGTGAAATGAAACCAATGCGTTGAAGCAATGTATTTTATTTTCAATGATGACGTAACCTAATTAGATGTATTATAGTGGCCTCGTTTTGTCAAGCCATTGATTATGATTATCATATCCACTAGATTGGGATTTTAATGTTCTAGTAGTATGAACACCTTACATTTTGACGCTCACGGGTTATTTTCTTTATCTTGGCCAGGTCGCAGTTGTAAATGAGAACTTGTTCTCAACTGGCTTACCTGGTTAAATAAATAAAAATAAACAATTTTAAAGATCAGTTGAGGCGGTAACGTTATAGCCTAGGTTAGGTTGAAATGAAATGCTTGGAAACGATGTTGCAATTGCTGCTTCATTGACAATTGTATCCGTTATTGTCCGGCCTTGGCAGCTGGTTTTTGTTTACGTGAATTCTTCAATCTGAATGCTTTTTAGCAAAGCAATTTGGGATACGTTAGTTGCTGTCACGTACCAGCTCTCATTGGGGGTCTTTGTGAGTGTCGTCATCTTGGCTCACTAAATGGAAGCCTCTGTAATGGCTGTGTCGCGGTCTTGTCACAATGCTGGCCCTCTCTGTTATGCAAGTGCTATTAGCCAGGCCATACCACACTCTGCAAGCCATAGGGTTCACCCTGAGAGATTTGTTTTCAGTACAGTACAGAATGTCAGTTTGCTTTTCCTTTTCACGCATTAAGTTTACTTGCGTACAGTTTTATATCACTTTTCATTTGGTAACTGAATCAGTATTCAAACTACTTATTCAAGTGGGATAATGTATCCACAGAGGACCGATAATGACTGAGGTTCTCATTCTTCGGACGTAGATCAATCATTTTCTCCTGGTTTCAGGTACCAGTAATCGCGATACTCATAAGTATTGTGGCAAGGAAACAAAACATGAAGTGGTTTTAACTTCTTTAGGAAAACCGCACTAATGTTGGAAACAAACATAATTATGTTGTCATCCAGTCACATGTATTTATTTTCCAAGCTATGGCACGCAATATTTAACATGTAGCAGGTTTTTAAAGGACTAAAGAATTTGGTCTGCTTCTGTTTTCATTTTTTGCCATGGATAAAATATCCAAATAAGGCTATTGTCACACCCCTAGTTTCTGGTAGGCATAATTGCTGTATTTTATAGTAGGTCAAGGTCTTTACCAAGCCCCTACCACTCTTTTCACTCACACGTTCAACTACCTTGTCATTTGAAATAGTTTATCTTGTTTGTATTCAAATTAGTACCTGTGATATGATCACAGTTTGCCTGATTTGATTGCCTCGGTAACGTTGAATTTAATCCTTTCATCCAGCCCTTTTGTCCTTAAATGGGTTATCCATTTGATAAACATTCCTACCTATTTCTTGAGGTCATGCTTAGTCACAAAGCTTTGGATAAAGTTGCTCAATGTATCATCATAATGTTATTCAAGTAACGGGTCGTGAAGAAAGCAATTGCAGATACCACCGTTATCACCAGTCTATAATATCAGCCTAGGTTAATATGTATTAATGTAGGCCTAGGTAATATTAGGTAAATAAGAAGACGTTTGTGTAGCACCATAGTCATCTGTTCCTCTTGCCCGGTTAGCAGGTGTTGTGTTGATAGTATACAAACGAGAACGTTCAAGCTGTTCCAAACTGGTTTTTCAACAGCCTAGTCCACTTGCAATTCCGATAGTTGCAGCTTGTAGCAACCTTTTTCCTGGAACACACAAATGATAGATAATGGGAGTAGGATTAACTGAGGTTATAGACTGAAATGTCCTATATGGCTTCCTTGGCAATACTACAGCAGAAGAGATGGATTTTGTAATTAAAGCATTTTATGTGTCAATTTTGTAATATGTTCATGTCATTTCCAGTTTGCATATTAAACTGCGATCAGAAAAGGAAACATCTTCATTACTTAGTCATGATACTCTTTTGTCGAGCTAATCATTCATCAGTTTATCGTTCCCTTTATTTTTCACAGTATTGGCTCATTTGTATCCGTGGTTCTGTAAGGTAGAGGTTCATTTTACTGTTTAGTACTGCTGCACCTTTTTTTGACTCGTGTCCATCCATTGCAGGTGAGAGAGTGCTGAGCCACCCAGAGGAGCCCTGCTACCTGTGGTTCGTCATGGAGTTCTGTGAAGGTGGAGACCTGAACCAGTTCATCCTGTCGCGACGACCTGACCCGCGGACCAACAACAGTTTCATGCTCCAGCTCACCAGCGCTGTGGCCTTCCTGCATGAAAACAACATTGTCCACCGCGACCTCAAGCCTGACAACATCCTCATCTCCGAAAAGTCGGGGACGCCAGTTCTCAAAGTCGCCGACTTCGGCCTCAGCAAGGTGTGTGCCGGACTAGGAGGCACCGGGAAGGACGAAGAGGACAAGAACAGAAACGTTGTCAACGTCAACAAGTTCTGGCTGTCGTCAGCGTGTGGCTCTGACTTCTACATGGCACCCGAGGTCTGGGAGGGCCACTACACTGCCAAGGCGGACATCTTCGCCCTAGGCATCATCATCTGGGCAATGCTGGAGCGAATCACCTTTATCGACGCTGAGTCCAAGCGCGAGCTGCTGGGAACCTACGTGAGGCAGGGCGCCGACATCGTGCCGGTTGGCGAGGCGCTGCTAGAGAACCCAAAGATGGTACTGAACATCCCGCAGAAGCGCAAGTCCTCCATGTCGGACGGGGTGAAGAAACTTTTGCAGGACATGCTGGCGGTCAACCCTCAGGACCGGCCCGATGCGCTTGAACTACACAACAGGATGGACCAGCTCACGTGTGCCGCATGACCCCCCCCCCCCCCCTCCCGAGAATCGGAACTAGACCTTTTTCCCAGGTACTTATCCATACATTTAATATTTTCATATTTTGATGTACTTGTTTTTGCGTTGTCTACTAGCAATGGTTATGTTTCACGCTGGGTGTTTCGTCTACATGTACTTTCTTTATTATTCACAAGCACTGTTCTGGGGCAAGAATGGCTTTGAAATATGTCTCCGTAGCCCAGTAGAGTTATGCTTAGTAACAGAATGTGACAGAATGTTCTGGCCAGGGCATCGGCTCATAGATAAGTTCCAAATGTTTGTACTGCCTGCTCCCCAAATGTTTTCAACTTCATTCCTTTAGCTCCAGCACTTTGAACTGGTTGAGGAGTACAGAGCGTTCTTCCCAATCCCAGCTGAAGGGCACCACAGTAAAGAGTTATTTGTATGTAGCGATAGAGGGGTGATAACGTAAGTGCAAGCCAGCAAAGAGATTAATTCATGTAATACGTTTTTTATAATCAAGGCACGTCTTGCATATACAGTGGGGGAAAAAAGTATTTAGTCAGCCACCAATTGTGCAAGTTCTCCCACTTAAAAAGATGAGAGAGGCCTGTAATTTTCATCATAGGTACACGTCAACTATGACAGACAAATTGAGGAAAAAAAATCGAGAAAATAACATTGTAGGATTTTTTATGAATTTATTTGCAAATTATGGTGGAAAATAAGTATTTGGTCACCTACAAACAAGCAAGATTTCTGGCTCTCACAGACCTGTAACTTCTTCTTTAAGAGGCTCCTCTGTCCTCCACTCGTTACTTGTATTAATGGCACCTGTTTGAACTTGTTATCAGTATAAAAGACACCTGTCCACAACCTCAAACAGTCACACTCCAAACTCCACTATGGCCAAGACCAAAGAGCTGTCAAAGGACACCAGAAACAAAATTGTAGACCTGCACCAGGCTGGGAAGACTGAATCTGCAATAGGTAAGCAGCTTGGTTTGAAGAAATCAACCGTGGGAGCAATTATTAGGAAATGGAAGACATACAAGACCACTGATAATCTCCCTTGATCTGGGGCTCCACGCAAGATCTCACCACGTGGGGTCAAAATGATCACAAGAACGGTGAGCAAAAATCCCAGAACCACATGGGGGGACCTAGTGAATGACCTGCAGAGAGCTGGGACCAAAGTAACAAAGCCTACCATCAGTAACACACTACGCCGCCAGGGACTCAAATCCTGCAGTGGAAGACGTGTCCCCCTGCTTAAGCCAGTACATGTCCAGGCCCGTCTGAAGTTTGCTAGAGTGCATTTGGATGATCCAGAAGAGGATTGGGAGAATGTCATATGGTCAGATGAAACCAAAATATAACTTTTTGGTAAAAACTCAACTCGTCGTGTTTGGAGGACAAAGAATGCTGAGTTGCATCCAAAGAACACCATACCTACTGTGAAGCATGGGGGTGGAAACATCATGCTTTGGGGCTGTTTTTCTGCAAAGGGACCAGGACGACTGATCCGTGTAAAGGAAATAATGAATGGGGCCATGTATCCTGAGATTTTGAGTGAAAACCTCCTTCCATCAGCAAGGGCATTGAAGATGAAACGTGGCTGGGTCTTTCAGCATGACAATGATCCCAAAACACACCGCCCGGTCAACGAAGGAGTGGCTTCGTAAGAAGCATTTCAAGGTCCTGGAGTGGCCTAGCCAGTCTCCAGATCTCAACCCCATAGAAAATCTTTGGAGGGAGTTGAAAGTCTGTGTTGCCTAGCGACAGCCCCAAAACATCACTGCTCTAGAGGAGATCTGCATGGAGGAATGGGCCAAAATACCAGCAACAGTGTGTGAAAACCTTGTGAAGACTTACAGAAAACGTTTTGACTTGTGTCATTGCCAACAAAGGGTATATAACAAAGTATTGAGAAACTTTTGTTATTGACCAAATACTTATTTTCCACCATAATTTGCAAATAAATTCATTAAAAATCCTACAATGTGATTTTCTGGAAAAAAAATTCTCATTTTGTCTGTCATAGTTGACGTGTACCTATGATGAAAATTACAGGCCTCTCTCATCTTTTTAAGTGGGAGAACTTGCACAATTGGTGGCTGACTAAATACTTTTTTCCCCCACTGTAACTGACAGAAGCACCCTTGATTTGTTTTGTTCATAACACCACTTAGGATAAACTGTTATCAGAACAGGAAACACAAACACACACTGCTGGTAAGTCAATGCTCCCTATGGGAAACGGCTTGCATTATGTCAGGGCTTGCCTGTACAGCGTGTACTGTAAATCCTCCATAGGTGTATCCATGTGTAGAGAAGAGCGCTGTTATCAATAGCTATAAACTGTTTGTGTGAGGGTCATTTCCTTGACCACCAACATGAAGTTCATAGGAGCATGTTTGTGTTTTAATTTTTTATTAAGGCATATACATTTTTCAACCAATTTTCATCCAAAGAATCGGAATAAGCAAAGAGATCTTAAAAAACATCTACCAAAAAAAGTCTTAAAAGGTATTAAAAATACATCAAAACACAATGTTGAAGTAAGACCCCTGCCAACTAATATAAACACTTTTATATTTAGTTTTGGAGAAAATGTTCTGCTTTCTGTAAGAAACATCGCCTTGTGCCTTGAAATTCCGTTACCAAAAACCCACATCTTTAAGATATTTTCAAATTTCTCTCCCTCATGTGGAGGGAGGATAATTAAAGTTCACATAAGTAACAAATAAGGTAGAGCTATCAATTAGTTAGTGTTTTTACTGATATACATTTTTTATATAAATTTTGTTTATGAATTAAGTGATACAGTAAAGACAAGTATAGTACAGCACAGTACTGTGAAGTACAGTAAAGAAAATTATAGTTCAGTAGAGTACAGTAAAGTATAGTACAGTACTGTAAAGTTCAGTACAGTAAAAAATAGTTTCAGTACTGTACAGTACACATTAGAGCACACGAGTTGAGTACACTAATGTACTGAACTCTACTACTGTACTGAACTCTACTGAGCTTTTACTGTAGTCCCGTGTAGCTCAGTTGGTAGAGCATGGCGCTTGCAACGCCAGGGTTGTGGGTTTGATTCCCATGGGGGACTAGTATGAAAAAAGTATGTAAGTCGCTCTGGATAAGAGCGTCTGCTAAATGACATAAATGTAAATGTACTGTGCTGTACTTTGATGTCCAAACTTGTGAAACATAGATGTCTATGATTGGTTCAGATTTGCTACTGTTTGGGGGCAGAGCTAATTAAAATAATAGCCAGTGTGTAGAATAATACCCAAATATGCAAAGGAGGATACATCACCAGGAAGAGAATGACTTTCATATCCATAATGATGCATTTCTGTGTAGTACAGATCAGGGACCCATGATGAAATTGTGTTACTGCAATTCCATTACTGGGTGTAAATTCACTTCACTTACTGTAGTTCGAAAACCAAAATAGATTTTTTCAAAGTCAATGTGTTATGTCATAGCTGACACCCCATTCTTTCTGCAGACATTGTTGAATCATAATTCGGAGCATATATTTTAGTTTCTTTTGTAAAATGTTCTGTGTAAATTGTTAAAAGTAGGCCTTGTGCATAGAGTTCTATGGTTTGTTAATCTTTGAAATCAATGGTTTTTGTTTTTCATACATTTTAAAGTAAAAAATCTGAGTCCCAGCGCGATGCCGTTACCATGGAATTGCCCTGAGACAAAAGTTGAATCCACAAAATGTAACCTAAATACCAACTCTTCTGTGTAACAATGGTGAGTCAGCAAATGGCTATCACAACATGTCATCTCCATGGACAGAGAGCTGAGGCTTTAAATCCCCCTTTAAGCCAGTTGCATAAGAGGTTGGCGAGAAATAGGACAGAATCACTAGGCAAGAATCTGCCACTGCCAGCCAAACAATGACAATCTGCATACAGTCCTCACAGTGGTAACCGCAATGGATTTCGAATAGGAAAGGTTGTTTTACTGCAGAATATATGGAATACAAAAATGACTCAGTGGATTGATTTATGGGGATCCTAATAAAATACTAAAATATCATAGAACCACATGTTTTTTTAGGCCTACCTACAGCAAAGGACCATGTTAGGGTGGCTTTAAATACATTTGAGTTAGGACGAACTCTCATAAGTCTTAATAATTCACATACAAGCGTCTGTACTCCAACTGTAGAATTCGCCCAGAGTCGGCTGTATAAAAAATCTACCCCCCCCCCCCCCCCCCCCCCCCAAAAAAAAAAAAGTATCTGTCTGGTCTGGGCTTCAGCTACTGTCAGCCTGATTGATGCCAAGACTGTGACCCCAGTACATACGCCTAATGGTAAAATGTGACCCAATAGAGCTACTGTCACTACAGAGCTAATTGTGGTCTAAAGTTAAAGGAGAATTTTCCTATTTCTGAAGTAAATCTAAAAAAAATTATGTAAATGTCATGTTTTATAAAAGGGGTCAGACTTTTAAAAAATGTTGGGGGGCTGAGTGCTGAGCCACCCAGAGAATAGTACCCCAGCTATTATTCACTTACTCGTTGTTTAGTGTCAGGGCACGTAAAAGACATGAACAAAAACACCCAAATACGTCCTTTTAGAAACGGACACGCTCTCAGTATAGTGATGTAGGTCTTTAGATGTTGTACACATGAAATTGTGTCATTCCGAACTTTATCCATAATGTTGTATACCATTTTGTGCAGCACGAGCCGTTTCTTCTACAAGCTGTGCTGAGTGGGCTGTGTCTGTACTATAGAGACGCTCGGCCTGCACAACTGCGCGGGGGAAATGGCGCGACTCGACCAAAATGGATTATAACGTTGCGGATAAAGTTCGTAATGACACAATTTCATGTGTACAACATCTAAAGACCTACATCACTATACTGAGAGCGTGTCCGTTTCTAAAAGGACGTATTTGGGTGTTTTGGAGCTTGTGTTCTTTTGCGTGCCCTTATACTGCACAACGAGCAATGAGGAAGTGAATCGCGGCTGGGGAACTTTTCAACAAAAAA